GACACGGCTACGTAAGGGAAAGACAAGGCCACAGTTGAAGACTTCACCATACTAAATTTATAAAAAGAAAAGACTATAATCAGCCCAAAGCATTTTGATTCTGGAATGATACTTGGTTTTTTTGATGATCATCCAAGTAGTTTTGTCGACATCGAGGTGGTTTTAGTTGTAACTGTTTCCACCGGTTGATTTCTAAGGAAAAATTTCGTGATGAAGGAATAGTCGCTGACTGTTTGTCACGCACGTAACCTTGCCTTTCCTACGCCACTCCTAGAGAGTCATGTGATTAGACCCGGACTCTTTTCGAATTACATTAATCAGAAGAAGTTTGAATGTGACCCGATATGGAGGTTTTTCGCGAGAAGTTTAACCAATACAAATAAAACTAGTCACCGACAAGATTCAGTTATTTCAATGACGTCTGACCTTCTGGGTCACTAGAATTCTGGAGAGTTTGTTTCTCAGACACTCTGTCTTAGTTTGGGACTACACGCGATACTGCAATTAATTGCTGGCCAGCATCATCTTTCAGTTCATATGACTCTTTGCCGAGTATTTTTTTTAATGATATTTTGACGATTTTGCCCAGAGCAAAAGAATGTTTGGGAGGGGCGTTTTTCTTTGAAGTCAGACTTGCGAATCTCGAAGTGTCAGATTAGTATATTTTAAGCCTGAAAATTGCGTTGAAGAACATTTTTATGTTTTTATTGCGTTCAAAACAATTTTACACTCCTTGGTAACCCCTACCACCAAATATGGATGTGATTGTCTCTAAGATGAATAAATGCGTCTCAACCAGTAACGACTTTAAATTTATTTTTTCAAGTAAGACCTTTAGTCCCAGCTTTATTCTAGAATTATTGTCCCTGGAGGGTAGGTGCGAGGACACGCATTACTTCTCTCTAGCCCTCTCTTGTTGCGTCCATGCACATCTCCCGCCCCTCGTCCGCGTACGTGTCCTTCCCCTCACCCGCGCACGTCTCCCGCTCTTCATCCGCGCACGTATCCCGACCCTCGTGCTTAACTCCATCTAGTAACTGCAAGAAGTCATGACGCCTGTTGTTTTGGCTTACGTCCGTGCGACAGAATCCCGTCGCCGCAACAATTTTCGTAAAAATTGAAGCGCTTAAAAAAACTTGTTGTGGAAGCTGTGCTCAAGACTCGATTTGTAGCAAAGAGACGGAGCAATTCAGATTGTTCACTCCCTCTTCGTCAGCGGGATCTGTCGCCTGATTCAAAATAAGTAGGGGAAAAATATCCAGGCGACGAATGAACTCTGAGAAGAAAGTCAAATCTCAGAGTTCATACGGTGCCGGTGCCAATCATTTTCACATCATCCTTATGCCGTTTCGGGAGGTTTGGGTACTAAACTACCATTATCCACTGCTTATATCTTTTCGCCAGTCTCTTCGGTTAAAAACTGCCCAATTTCGGCGTCTAGACACGCGCGGTAGCCCTCCCTGTGGTAAGCACTAAATAATGCGGGGGTGAAGAACTGGTTGAGAGTCGCGTGATGAGGAAAGAATCCACACAAAATCCTGAAAAGAAGACAGATCATCTTAAAGTAATCACGAACATAAATTACTTCAGTCCGCATCGCAAAATATCTGCGTTCTTAAAGCAATGTTCTCTATAGCTATTGTCTCAGGTCACTAGACTTTAGACCAAATAAGCCGATTGAAGAACACGAACAGTTCGGGTTCGCTCATGGGTTTGATATCCGAAAAACGTCATTCTTACCCAGAACAGCTTTTACAGCAAGTCACGTGACAGCATTCACAACAGCAGCCACTCAGTCGGTCGACTTCCCCCGCTTCAAGGTCAGGACCGGTTCCCCAGTACTCATTGTTGATTGGTTGATGAGTGTGACGCAGGCAATCCTTCCATGATCGCGACGATCCAGTTGAGTTGGATATACCTTTCAGAAAGGAAAGTTAAAAATCTTGTCATTGATACAGGAAGTATGAAATGAAATCTCAAAAATATAATGCTATTCACCCTCGTATGGATGTCGAGGCAGTATAAGTAAAATCTCCCCTTCCCCGACCTTCTCATCGCTCAAGCAATCCATATTTTTCTCATAGTAATCAACCCTGAACTTGTAGAACCGAGGCTTATAATTGTCGGGCATTTCCTCGAGCTTGCTTCGGATGTCCTCGACGATGTCTCGACCGTCCATCGCACTAAAAGAACACCGCAGCCTCTTTCGCGCCAAATCAAGCGACCGGAGTAACTGAGTGGAAACGGGATTGCCTTCCCCCATGCTGCATCCGTCGACTACTACGATTTTCTTCAGCCTCTTTTTCAAGAGTGCCAATAGTCCCAGCTGCTCGATGTGACCGCCATCACTAAGGTTGAGGAGAGGCGGGGGAACTGGACCGAGATCGACAGTCCGAAGTAACAGGCGTGCAAATCGGACATGGTAGATGTTTACAACACACCATCTGAAAGCAACAAACACAAATAAAGCCGTAATTCAAATAACTATTGCTTGGCGGAATATAAACTAACCAGTGACCGATCAGGATTACAAGGAGCTAGTCACATCACATTACAAGCAAACTGTCTTAAAGGTGGGAAAGTGTCGCAATTGCAGCCATGGTTGAGAGAGTAGCACAAGCAAAACCGCTGAAATACCGGATAGGTTCTAAAACTCTTTTTAACCTTGCTTTATGCAATGTTTGAGTTTATTCTATTATTTGAAAGCTTTGAAGAATGAATTTTACATTCAGCGACTCTGTTACCTCACAAACTTGTCGGCGCATCCGCCATCTTCTGGGCCCGTTGGCAAAGCAGCGGTAACCATCACCAGGACAACAATAGATAGATACCAGACCACCAAAATAGCATGCCAGTCATGACTCAAAAATGGCGGGAGAATTAGGGGAACCACAATAAACAGCTGTATAATGACAGGCAGGAACTGGAGGAAACGAAATATAATGTTGGCACTTTGTGACAAGATCAGATTAAGCAGTAGCTGTCTGGTTTTATTTTTATTTAATGACTAAGGTTAAGGGTTATAGTTTCAGTTTGCCTCGTACCGGAGATCTATCTATTAAACAACCAATAGGCACTCAAATGAGGAAAGGAACGCTTTTTCCCTTCTTCCCGTGGTCCCTTGCGCTTCGCGCTTGTTTATCAGAGTGTAGGTTGATGTCATGGTTGCGTGACATCATAATTGAAAAGCAACACCGCACTTCTGTTGAAGGAGTCTACAGGATTTTAGTTTGATACGACAGTTTAACACAAATGAGGAAGTGATAAACCAAGAATGGACAAGCATGGCTGAGGAGATCTAAGGATGGTGAAGATTGACGTGGATTAAAAATGCAATAACCGTAAGGAACTTCCTAAGATGACGTCATAACTTGTAACCGGAAGTCGAAGGATGATCTAGGCTCAGTCTTCGCTCCTATATAAAGTCAATGATCCAAATTTCTTTGTTAGGGCAAAAGAAACTTACCCTACAACAAGAAATTGTTGATCCTGCCACATCTCTGTCTGGATCTGATATCAGAGATTTTCCACAATGCACCCCCAACACCATTTGAAGGTTACGCACTGTCTCGGTCTTGACGTCATACACACCCATGTACAGCGCCAGAACAGCCGCTGATGTTGCCATGACATCAGACAGTGGAAGATCACGTGGTTGGATTTTTCCTGTTGGATACATCGTAAAGCTTGTCTTATTGAGATTATAAGAATTTTTTTTGTTGGCGCCTACAGTGAAATAAAAATGCGTCATTGACCAAGTGGGAGGTCAAGATGGCTGGATATTGGCAAAGTTTTTTTTTTTGCGTATGTTTTCGGGAGGCGAGACGTAATCATCTTTAAAAAACGTCACTGCTTGTCTATTTGTCAAAAAAATACTGTGGAGATAATAATTGCAGTACCGGCAAAGCTTTTGTGTTCCTCCGGATTCTCGTCCAGTCTTTCTATCCCCGTGGGAGACAGAGTGAGAAGCTCATAGGAGTCCGAGCGGACCCCACCAGGTTCCTTCTGCCAGTTGTTCACAACTGTGTTACAAATATATTCCGGTTTCATATCTGCAAGGTCACCTATCAAAAGCAAAAAAATCAATCCAACAGAGCAGTCGTAAGTACTTCATTTGTTTACCGGAACCGAGTTTTACGCGAACGTGCCCGAGGTTGACCTGAAAAGTACTTCGCTTTGATCCGACTCTGACCAGGCCTGACTGGCCTGAGTTTGGCTCGAATAGAAATCAGATTAGATAATGCGGAAAAGGTATGAAATTAAACCAGCACCTTGCCCCCTTGTATTTTAGGGGTTTAATTTTTTGGCTTCAAATGGTACATTAGTTTTATCTGCTTCAAATATTTTCGACTGCTCTAACTAAGTCGATCTAACATGTCTAAGTCGAGCATGAGAGCTCAAGGATTCTCTCCAGCGTGAGTCCGGAAACATTTTCGACAAAACATTACAAACCGGCTCTTCTTTAATTTGATCAACTTAACATCTAAATACTGTACCATGCAGAAATGATTAAATTGTCTTTGACTCAAGTATTGAATAAAATAAAAAGACCGTTTAGCTGAAACTTTTTCCTCATCAATTTTTTTTTGAAAAACGCACTCACCCATAGTAACGAATCCTTTGTCCAGTCTCTCCCACTCAGGAGTGTCTGCACATGAGCAAAACGGTATGATATCGTTGAAGGATATCCCAGAACATCCTAAGCACCCGGTACTCTGAGGTGCGAAAAAAGCCTTCTGAAGACGCCATCTTGGAAAAGAAAACAAAATCTATACGTTAAGATAATTTCCCACCTACGCGGGTGTCCTTTGGGAAAAAATTCGTAAGCGCGCTAGTTTCACTAAAATCCTAGCAAAATATTCATCAGAAGAAAGCTTAGTAAATTCAGTTTACGATAAAAATATACTTTAAGCGAGTTTTCCTTTCAGGAAGTGTCAGAAGCCGGTGGGGCGTGAAACGGCTGAGGGTTCTTCTATTGAATTTATCGGATATCGGATGCCGCAGCACAAGATTTTAACTCAGAAAGGTTCGTAAACAACTCGCGCCACGTCAGGAGATGATCTCACCTCCTAAAACTGCAAACCAATGGGACAACGGGACCTCCTGGCGTCAATGACGATGGACCAAAATTCCACGGGAAAAGTAACCCATGGTAGACACGTTTTTATCTCGATCGCCCAGGGGAGCGTTGAGGAGAACGACGCAATAATAAGCAAAAAAGCCAAAGGCAAAGGAAAGTACCGCGGTAAAAATGGAAAATGTGCTGAGAGGGAAGACAACGACTCGACAGACAACTTTCAAACTTACGATTCGAAGCGATTGTTAATGTTTTTGTATCAAGGCTAGTACTTGCATAAATAAAAAGAAACCCGATTTTTAACTTTATGAATGACAAATTTTGGTTAGACGGCGAACTCTTTGTTCGAGATCTGGACGCTACGTGGAGCTCCGCCAGTGCTGGTTGTTTTCACCAAGAATTTTATTTCTGTCCTTGACAGAAGGTTACTCTTTCTGTCTTCTTTGGACCCTCTTTTTCTTTTTCTTCTTTGAAGGAAAAAAAGACTTTCTTTTGCTTTTGATTTTTCCATGAGCAAAGATTTTTCCAAAAGGAAAGAGCTTCCACGAGTGAATATTGTCAATTGCGCAATAGAAAAACATGCCCCAAGATGTGCTCGGGTGCTTTTGTAGATTTGATATCTTTTGGAATCGTTATGTAAAATGTTTGAATTCAGTTTAGTCAAATAATAGGAAAAATTATTTTTTCGGCCCCTGAAGGTATGAAGTAACTTTAAAGGGGTGCAGGTTTATCATCACAGAGCAGGTTGCTTGTCCAACCCTCCAAAAACTTCGGTCAAGGCTAGATCTTTACATGAGACATGTTATAGATAAAAGTTTCTTTTAAGAAATAAGAATTGCGCACTGTGAATTATAAGAGACGGCATGTTTTACTGATCGACTTCCGCGGTGAACGTACTGAAGTTGCGCAAGTTGCGCAAAACTTCAGTAAGTTACCTCGGAAACCGAGTGAGCGAGGAAAGATACAAATTACCATTTGTGGAAATTTAATTCGCACATTTTTCACAAAAGATAATTAGTCCTTTTTAGAATGATACCAATTATTTCCAAAATTACTTGCTTTAGAACAAGAAGTGTTAATTTAACAATTTTTCTATAGGTTGCCTGTTTTTTTTATCACTAATATCAAAGCTAAAGATAACATAGTTCACAATGGCTCACCTGTTGTATGTATGTACTGCGCCCATATTTAAAAGTCCTAAAAAGGGTGTCATCCAAAGAAGTATGGCAGATCCGAGAAGAGCCTCGTAAAAGAGATCTTCTGAATAACTGATGAATAAAACTGGACTTTTATACACTCGCCATTTTGTTACATAGGCATAAGCATACACCAACAGGGCTAAAGAGGCGGTGTTTCTGAGTGGCGGAAACCCAAGCCATAGAGCAATGCTTCCGAGTAAGAGAAAGCCGTTGACATACACTGAAGTATGTACCCTTAAAAATACTTCAAAAAACCATGGTAGAAAAGTCATTAAAAGCATAGAACCAGCGCTTACATAAAACACCTTAAGATTGTTACGGATAGAGAAATGACGGGGGTGGAAAAGAGATTTTAACGCATAGAATCCCGCGCAGCTTGCGAAAAGAACACCAAAAAGAGTAAATGTGTCATCATGGCTCTGCACGAACTGACAGCCTTCGCTTTCTGCGGTATCTTTGGGTGCGGAGTGATTAGGGCAGTGAAATCCTGCGCGAAGTATATCACCAAAAATGTAATCCACCGAGAAAGCTGTGGGTAGAGCAAAAGCAAGAGAGGTGAAAACGGGAAGGATGATAACCACTACAATGCAGAGAAGAACCAAAATTATGGAATCAATGATTCCAAGGAAGGGGTTCCTCCAGGAGCAGAAGAAACCGCTACGCTTCCGCAAGTGATTGAAAAACTTCCGGTGCCATTCTGGGCTGTCTTGTTGATTGTGGTGATACTTCCAGTCGAGGTAGGAAGCCCCGGTAAAACCACCGCCTGAAACACAGCTCAAGTAATCCAAGTCGATCTCATCTTGAAGAACATAGCGCAACACACCAGAACAAAATGCAGCAGATCGAATCCCGCCGCCAGAGAAGGCTATACCTTTCGGGAATAACATTGCCGC